CATTTTAACATACTACGTAGCGGCATGAGATGCGTTGCAGACCACACAGCAACCGCATGTACTAGCAAAGGAAAAACCTGGTTGGTGCTCCAGAAAATGTGGTTCTCTTCCTGGGTTAGCGAACAGGCTGCTGAGTGGACTTAAGCAAGCTCATTTGCTCTTGTACGCTGGCTTTTCCAGCTGTAAAACATTAAGGTTGCTATCACGCACACGCATATTTTATCTCATCACTTCTAAAAACCTGCAGAAACCTGAGAGAAGCACTTGTACAGCACTTTGTGATAGCTAAAGCAGTGCTAACCGATAAGAATGCTGTGCCCCGGTGCAATTTCTAGTCATGAATAATCGTTACTGATCAGAAAGAAAAAAAAGTCAGTCACAAGACCTGCCAGCTCATACTGTCTTTCCCCAGATGGTCCCAGTCCAGAACTGGTAGCAAATTGCATTGATCTAGTCAATAAAATTCCCTAAATTTGCAGTAGCATCAGATACTCTGGGAGGTAATTTTTTCTTGCAGTATCTTTCCTTCCCACATAATTGAATGGCGACATCTAAGATGCTTCTCTTATCTCTTAGTTGACTTTTTTTCAGTTCATTTTTTTCTATCTGCCCTGTCAATTATTTTTCCTTATCACTCCTAGTACAAAAATGTATCAGCACTTTCTTTGGTGCCTGCATACAAAGAATGTCTAAAATCTGGACAAGATCTATCAATACACTACTGCATTAATTCCTACAATGACCTATCGATGTTCTACATATGACAACATGCAATTTCTGAATATTCTGATGCTATGAATGATGTACAAAAGCTTTATGCTATATATATATCCATATAAGCACATTACAGATCTCAAGCTACACATCATTTTAGGTAAGGCCGTATCTTATTCTTTCGTGTGTAGCTATGTCACCAGGCAATAAAGAATGCAAGATTCAGGTGATAAAACAAGAGAAAGGCCTGACTTTATGTATTAAGCTCTTCATTGAAGGTAGCTCTAGGTCTTGTTTCAGGGAATAAAATCCAATGTAAATTGTATTTTGATGACCATTGCTGTCAGCACTTGCAAGGACATTCGCAAATTAAAGTTCATAGACCTACCTGATGAAAGCACACTGCTTCATTAAGGGAGCAAATGATGTCTTTCATAGAAATAGCATCTCCTCAAAACTTTATGCTTCATGACCTTAAAAATGGCAAAATGGCAATGAGGATTACATCACTTCTGGCAACACATACAGTCATATACTGAACCACAACTAAACACTTAGGAAAGTCCTATAAATACAAGAAAAGTCCTTGATCCCAAAATACTTCCTCTTTCTGGTATAAATTATGGAAATCACACCAGTTTGCTCACCAGTGGCAACCTACGGTGTAAGAACACATAATCAGTGTAAGTCTTAAAACTGAAGACCACGTCTGCCACATGCAAGCCTGAATGTCTGTAACTTGTAGTAATGTCACTAGAGTAACATTAAACAAAAGTGCCAATGCAGCGCTTCCACCAGACCCAGGGCTTTGTAAAATCTACAAGCCTATTTTCCGCGAGTTGAGTGAGATTTTATCACACCATAGGAAAAAAAAACACCTGAGAGAGGAATGCTGACTTCGACACAAGGGAAGAAGTACCTCTGCTAGGACGTGTCTGCTGGGCAAATTAATTCCTGAGGATTTTTTGTCAAATTCAGCTGAATTCTTGACCTTCCTGTCATAGCACTGATAACATTCTTCTGTACATTCAACACAAAACAAAAAGTTCACAGCCTCTACCTTGCTGGTAACATTCTGCTGCTCAGCTTCACTAGCTAGGTGCTTTTATTGGATAATCTAATTCTCTGTAATTCATGGATATTCCCTTCATCTTTTCCATTTAATCAGCAACTAAATATTTCCTGCTATCAAAATTATTTAACATAGTGGTTCCTGTTCAACAAGGTAGCATCAGTTTTTCGCAGTAAAACTTTAACATTCTACAACCTTTACCTCTATTTGCCTACCTCCTGGCCTCTTTAGGCTAAGGACCAGCTTATTCATAACATAAAACCTTCTTAGAAATTACAACAGAAAACAGTTCCTTTTAAATAGTTCAGTTGGTCAGGCATGTATTATGAAAAATTAAATTAAAGAACACATTGTGAAATCAAAATTTAAAGAGTACAAGGGGTTGTAGAAGAAAATAAGGAATGTGTTTAACAGCACAATGAAAGTATCAAGACTTCCTATGCAGAAATAAAGGTAAACTTATTTCCAAAATTACACTGAAAACCAATCTATAATCTATAGGCTTCATATTTGATCTTAAAACTCGGTAAAGCAGAAAAAAATCCTGTGTGGCGGGGATCTAATGCTTTGTAACACAAAAGCTTAAAAAACTCTCTGAAAATAATTACAAAAACTGCTCAGAATGACACTACTTGGATAAAATATTAATCTGCTGAAATAAAATTCAGTTTATGGAAGTTACAGCCTCATATACAGACTACTTAAGCAATTAGCAGCATCTCTGAAGAGATTCTGGTGTAATGGAGTTCAGATGCACGCGGGATTTCCAGCTCCTTTTGCATTAGGAGACAGAGGCTTTTTTTTTAGCTTGAGCAGAGCACGGAGCCAGCCGTTATTAATGAAGCTGTCTAATGGGCTGAAACAGCCATGCATGAAAACCCAACAACAGATACTTCTGTGCTCCACGAAAGCTAATTTTGCAGAACCATCACCACACGGCATTTGATGGTTTAATTCCTGTACAGCAGACACAGGACCAGCTGAGGATAACCCACCAAGTTTGTTCATTTTATTCCTCAGAGGCTGTTCACTTCAGAAGACTTCATGCTATATTGCAAAGAAGTCCTCCAAACATGACACTAATGTTTTTCTTTCATTTCCTGGCTCTGAACTCAAACAATAGCATGTTCATGTAATACAATACCTTGCCCTCAGGGCACTGGGATGAGAAACCTGTCGAAGTGAAGGAAACCTTGAAAGTGCAAATCCCTGTAAGAAAATACAGCAGAAAGATAAAGGAAAAAACGTGGGAAAGTGACAAATTGAGTGCAGGGTTATGGTCTTAAGAGATGAAAACGTCCTGTTTTTTCAAGTGATCTTGTTGAAGTCTATACTGCATGTAGGCCTAGTTTTATAACTGGCCAGGGACTCAACCTCAAGATCTTCAGACAGAAACATGAAGTGCCCCAACCCTTCTGCCAGATCACAACAGGACCAGCGATACTGACCCAGAAGTGAGCTAAATAAGCTGCTTTTTATTCAGTTTGGAAGGACCAGATAAAAAATTATCGTACCCTGAAAATCTTTATCATCCAACAAGGTATGGAAAGTTTTTAATTTTGAAGACTTCAGAAATCTCATCCAACAGCTTTAAAAGAATTGGCTGAGCAGCTGAGAACCATCAGCACTTACATTTAATGAGTTTTGTAATCCCCAGAGCCGTGTCAGCAAATGAGGGTAGAAACAAAGAGGTTTGTTACATTACGTAGGATCAGAGTTAGCATTCAAACTACGTAATCTGATGTCAGCTCCAGGGGGCAGGAAGAAAAGAGGCTGACTGTAACAGATATTAATCAGAAAAAAAGAGGATACCTGCTTTTAAATAATGCCAACCTACGTGGCTGATGGAAACCAGCTCTCGTCGAGCCAGTTACCATGATTCAGGATGATCACAAGTTTAGCTGATAAAAATAACCATTGCCTAAAGGCATGGGGAATTGCTAAAGGCGCTTTCCTTTGTGCTTGATGACATTTAAGCAAAAGAAAAAAAGGGAAAGAAAAAAAGCATAACAGCAGATCAATACAGCATTCACCACATACAGTAAACTGGGGTACGGTCTATTTGAGTCATCCTTCGTGAGAGTTTTTCTTTGCCCTAATACTGTTTATGAAAAAATTTAAAAGGACTTTTCTTCATTTTTAGACGACAAGCTAGGACACACTGAATTATGGAGTATTTAGATTAGGCAGCACACGGGGCTGTTGAAGCCAAACACTTACCTCAAGCACGAACCATCATCAATCCAGCAACACAGGTCTGTTCTGTGAGACAGTGACGTTGGAAGCCTTTGGGGCGAAGCAAACATTTTGTATGAACTCAGAGTTTAGAACGTAGATGGTTAACCAGCCTAATAGCATTATAATGAAAAATCTGGCAACTATGTAATTAATTTCTATAAATGAAACAAAAGTTCTCCCACAGCTTTTGACCAGTCTCATTTCAGGGCTATGTTACAGAACATTGCCCATTTACACACACAGAACAAAGTGATGCTCTGTGTCAGGAGGAGCAGCGCTCGTGGTACGAAGGCAGCTAAACCTCTGAAAAGACCATTCATGCTAAGGAAACCCCTCAGCCGGGACCCTGCTGTTAGCGTTTCCTTCCTGGTACAGTTGTGTCCAGAGACTGGTTTTTTTTCCAGTGGATGTGAAAACTTAAAAGTGTTTTTCTATCTGATGTAACTTTCACATATTTCCCGCTCTAATTAATTTAAATACTAGATTAGGAAAATAACTGCAAATCTGCATTATCTCCTCAACATGCCTCGGACTGATCTGCAGTCCAATGCCTGAAGCATTTTAAATCGGAAGACTGTAATTTCCCGCATAGCTATCTCCAAGAGACATGTGGTGAAAAAGACAAAGTTTAACTTGTCCCATCCATACCTTTCTGTTACTGCTACTTTTCAGTTTCAACTAGTTTAATAATCACTTGCTAAGAAAACAGTTCAGGAGCATTGCAGCATGAACTTGAACATGGAATTGCCTAACTTTCTTGAAATCGGAATTTTCAAGAAACAAAACAGTAAGGGTATCACAAAGGAAACATTTTTTAAAACCATGAGAAATTCTTAATGAGCTATCCAATTCCTTAATTATTTGGGTAGTTAAAGGCTGAGGACAAAATATTCCTACTGATGCACTAGAAGGCAATCAAGTAATTAAACATATTCGAATTAACAACACACACAAAAGAAAAACAGACACATGTTTAAGGGGAGGCCAAATTGTTTTATTTAATTTTTTTAGTGACCAATTGGATTTTTGGCAGAAAGCTCTGCTCTTTTTTTTTTGTCTTTTTTTTTAATATTTCAGCAGTGCTCAAATTGGTGGGTTAGAATTTTACTCAAATTCCAGTTATTTTTAAAAATGAACAGATGAACAGGATTTCCAGAGAGTTTCCAGATCAGAGAGCAAAACTTCACATTCGTATGAAAATTCCATGTTTATACTTGATTGGGACACAGAATGTAAAACTATTGTCAGTAGTGCATGAATAAAACATTCACATTTGAACTGGAACCTTAAAATCAGAAAGCTGTACTCTCCTTCCAAAATTTTCATTACCTTGTGCAAATCAAGTCAAGTCTTCATGTGTCAAGCACACACTTAAAATTGTCCATATTTTATATACAAGACATCTACCATTCAGGCAGTGCAAAATACATCCTTTCATAACAAAACTAAAATGTACCTCTCAAAGTATGAACAAGAATATACACATAATACATGATGTACACTATTTACACAACCATAAAAAATATAATACAAGGATTTTTAAATTGTGATTTTAAGACTTGACAGTCTCTTGCAATTTTTGTTGCAACAAGGCATGTTTAAGTTTCCTGGATGGAGTTTTCTTTGCCAATTATTCAATGGATTGTGGAAGCTACGCTTGAACTTTTAGGAGAGTTTTCAAATGGACTGCCATCAGCTCCCTGTTTTGGTCAGACGGTTCAGCTGTGCCACCCACCCAGTGGCTGGGAGGCTTTGGAAGGACACTAGGAGATGGCGGGTCACTGAATTTTGCCCCAGCGTAACTTTCTTTTTGGCTTGTTTCAGTTAGGGTGATAGGTTTCTTGGACTTGGCATTTCTGAAGTTCTCTGTGTTTTTAAGTGGCTTTTTCTCCTGCTTCTGAATTATTTCTGGCGATACAGAATCTTGCCAAAAGTTCTCTATCTTTTTTGCCGAGGTGATCTTTGTCAGTGGCGTGTTACATTTACTCTTCTGTCTGTTAATCTTTGGTTGTTCACACAGATGTAAACTGTGAACAGGCTGGCTGTAGGGGATGGCAGCCTTCTCAGTCTTTCCCATCTTGTTCTTTAAGAACTGCTGAGACAAAGAATTCACGTCAACGCACGACCCCTCAAGAAACGCCTCTGGGCACCGCACAGGCACAGTACCGACACCGGGCTGTCTCCTAGCCGGACTCGAAGACGCCTTCCCGCACCGCCCCAGAATCGGGGGCCGCTTTCACCCCAACAGTTCTCCCGTGAGGGTATAACGGCGGGGCGGGTAGCGAGCCTCCC